GGGTGGAGCTACGGGATTTTGGTGCTGCCTCTCATGTCTTGTCTGCATTGTTTTTGCAGGTCATTGCTATCAACAACAAATTCCCGGGTCCTACTATCAATGTGACCACAAACAACAATGTTGCCGTCAATGTTCGGAACAAATTGGATGAAAGCCTCCTCATTCATTGGTATGTTGACTTCTTGTTCAGCTTCAAATCTTCATAAGGAGCTTAGATTTGTTTACTGAGCTCAACTTTATGGAACTTTCTCGAGACAGGTCTGGGATTCAGCAGAGGAGGAGTTCGTGGCAAGATGGTGTTCTTGGCACGAATTGTCCCATTCCTTCTAAGGGAAACTGACCTTACCAGTTTCAGGTCAAGGATCAAATTGGAAGCTTTTTCTACTTCCCTTCCCTTCATCTTCAGAGGGCTGCTGGTGGATTTGGGGGTTTCATTATAAACAACCGACCCATCATTTCTCTTCCTTTTGATACCCCATATGGGGACATTGTCCTTTTTATTGGAGATTGGTACACCCGCAACCATACGGTTAGTGTGATAGTTGAATTTTTTTTGGAAACTCCTATTTTTACGAACATTACTACAATTCAGTTCATACTGGTCAAGTAAATCATAACACGGGTTAAACTATTTGTTACTGGTTCTGCGTTGGAATGTAGGACATGAGGAAGGCCCTAGACGATGGAAAAGATCTTGGCATGCCGGATGGTGTTCTCATCAATGGGAAAGGCCCATACCGATATAACGATACACTTGTTCCTGATGGCATCGATTATGAAACAATTGAAGTCCATCCTGGTAGGTTCTTAGAAAATTTAAATTTAAATTTGTTTTGTAGTTTCTCTAATGTTATGCTTCTTTAGGAGTATAAACGAGGAATCCTTGACTAATACGCATGTCTGCCTTGTGAGAAAAACAATGGGCAGAAAGTTAGGAAAAAGCAAGCAAAGTCTGTCTTATTATAGTGGCGTATATAAGTTTTGTTTGGATAAATTTTTCTACAATAAAAGAAAAATGTAAAATGAATGGATTTTTTCTCATAAGCTACAATAAACTCACACACTCAACTTTTCCAGACACTTCTCTAACTTTCCAAAAGATGAAATGTACAAGTTAATTTTAGCTTATAAGAGAAACATTTTATTTTACTTGCTTTTTCTTTTTCTTAAGAAGTGCATAGGAAGAAGTTTATCCAACGCAACTTGGTGTTACGTTGAGGATGAGTACTTCCTGTTGTGTCATCATTGTCTTGTCATCTGCCCTACGATTGGTTTC